ATCATGCAGGGGAAGAAATTTTGTATTTTCTTTGCCAGTTGCCATCATACTTACAGGGCCCAGGGTGTGATTACCAATAGCAGAGTGTGCTTCTTAATGACCTTTTCTCAGTGGTGACACAATGTGTATGACAAAGAAACTAATTACAGGAAAGATTGTATGCGGCTCGAATCTGGGTTGCCTAATTGAAGCTAATATCGTTGCTGATAGCTATGAATATGTTTAAAGAATTTGTTGTGAAAGCTCCTCTTGTGTTTACAATTGTGATTCAGCCTCCATGCAGTGAGATTACAGTTCAGGAGATTCCTGGTACCATAGGGATAATGTTAGCTCACACTGTGTGAGTGAGAGAGTGTGTGTGTACATTCATTCTCTTCAGAACCTTTACATGCAGAGTGAAAGAGCTGTTTCCTCATTTATTAGTGCAGGTTTCTGTGGTTACCATAAAGCAAATCCCCCAAAGGGCTTGGTCTATATTAGCTGATATGACTGTTCTGACATAGTTCTTCATTTCTTCACACACATGTAACAGCTATGCTCACAAGGCTTAAGGCCTAGAGATGGAAGAGAGCTCCAAGATACACCAGAAATTGTCCTGGCCAACTGCTCGGCACCTGGACTGTTGACACATTCTTGCTGCTGGGGAAATTTGTGGCTGCAGTGAGGTTTGCCCATGAAAAGCTAGCAATCCAGGAGGGGCAGCCGTAACCAGGCCTATGAACCAAAACTACACTGTATATGGATGCACACACAAACTACCACATAGGAATAGAGAAGAGGAAATAGTAACTCTGCTTGGAATTTCAAAAGAAAATTGAGGGGGGCTGGCCTGGTGTAGCGGTAAAGCTGCCGCCTGCAGCACCAGCATCCCATGTGGATGCTAGTTTGAATCCTGGCTGCTCTACTTCCAATCCAGGTCCCTGCTAATGTGCCTGGGAAGGCAACAGAAGATGGCCCAAGATCTTTGGCCCTGCACCCACGTGGGAGACCTGGAAGAAGCTCATGGCTCCTGGCCCAGCTGTTGCAGACATCTGGGGAGTGATCCAGCAGATGGGCAATCTCTCTGTCTCTCCCTCTCTCACTCTGTAACTCTGCCTGTCAAATAAATAAAATAAATCTTAGAAAAAAGAAAATTAAAAGTTTAAAGTGGTTTTGGGGTTCACTACTATATTCCAGAATGTTACATATAACCCCATATTCTATTTATCATCAGACATCCCCAGACAAGCAAAGAGAAAGGGAAGCCTTGGAGTCTCACAGCCCTGGCCTTGATTGAATTTCAGCTCTACCATTAACAACCACTTATTAGTTATGTGACTGAATAAGGAATTGAAACTCTATTGGGACACAGTTTCTGTATTGATGATAGGATTGATGGCATTACCTTCATAAGTTCATAGGTCAAAGGAGATAATCCATTGTATAGGTGCTCCATCAGTGTTAGTTTTCTTTCCTCTGTCTTTCCCTCCTATCCCTACACCGAGTGATGGAGAAAAATCAAGTTCTCTTTGCTGAGCGTGATCATTTGATCACTCTTTCTGGGATTCAAGGCATATTTCAGAGTACCTGTGGGATTTTGAAAGCTAAATAACTGACCAAGTATTGATGAAGGAGACACCATCAGTGATTAGTTCTGCTGGTTGCTTCGCACACGTGTTTTACACCTCATGAAAACTATGAGGGAAGTAATTTCCCCCTGAAGTGAATACTGGTTTCTTACTATGGTAATATTTAGTATGACTTCAGGTTCTTGTGTGTGTATGCATGTGTGGTACCACTCAGAACCTTGGGCTAAGCTTGTGCTTTCCTAGCAAGGCTTGCAAGTTTAGAAATACTGAAACCACATGAGAATAGTTGGCCACCCAGCACAGATGGTCAACCAATATACATTACTTACTTAAGAGTTTGGTATATTTTCCATATGTGTGTACTTCTGCATTAAGAGTAATTAATTTGAGGTAGGCATTTGGCTGAGCAATTAAGATGCTCATGCCCCATGTTACAGTGCCTGGGTCTGAGTCTCAGTCTTGGATCCCTAATCCAGCTTCCTATTCATGCAAACTGTGGGAGGCAGCAGTGATGGCTGAAATAATTAGGTTTCTACCACCCACATGGGAGACTTGGATTGACTTCTCAGCTCTTGGCTTTGAGCCTTGGCCAAGCACGGGGCCACTTAGGGCATGTGAGGAGTGAATCAACAGAGAGAAACTTGCTGTCTCTCTCTTGTCTCTCTGTGCGTGTTTCTCTGCCTCTTAATCAAATTTGTAACCTTCCCTTTTTTTTTTTTATCAGCATATCAGAAACTTAGTGCTATACAGAGCTTATGATTGAAATGTCCTTTATTACCCACCCTGAATCTTAGCTAGGGATCAGAACTCTCCTAAGGCTGCAATATGGCCTTAGGGCTTCTGACTGGATTCGTATCCAAGTAACTTTTCTTGTGGTGAGCTGTGCTTTCTTCCTATCTCAGGCTAGAGTGCACTAAAGAGACTTTGCTTATCTTTTAAAAACCCCTGATTAGCCACAAAGACATCTGCTCTACCCTAGCATCTCTATTTAAATGCTACTATTGGTTTCCCAAAATTACTTCGGTTATAAGATGAGTGGTTTTAACCAAAAGCTTCAAGAATGTAGCATGACTCTAAAAAGAAAGAAGTCTATTTTTCTCATGTGACATAAAGGTGGGCACTGGAGGCCATCCCGAGGGCTCTGTTCCAGGAGCTCATTCAGGGAAACAGGTCCCACCCTATGACTGCTCCTCAGTGTCCGTGGGTGCTTTCTGGTCAGAGCTGAGTGAAGTGCTGTCGGAGTCCAGCCCAAGGGAGGAGTGAAGGAAAGCAGGTAACCAAGAAGCTGCACACGTGACTTTTGTTCAATTCCCCATGGTCTGAATTCAGGCACAAGACCACCTAGTTGCAAGGAAAGCTGGGAATTGTGATTTATAACAGAATGGCCATGTGTCTAGCTGTAACTCAGGGAGTTCTATTACTAAAAGGGTGGGTGGGGGGAGAATGAATCCTGAGAGAGGTAGCACTCTCAGCCACACTCCATTAGATAACAGTTGAAAGAGAACAGTAGAGGCCGGCGCCACAGCTCACTAGGCTAATCCTCCGCCTTGCGGCACCGGCACACCGGGTTCTAGTCCCTGTCGGGGCACCGGATTCTGTCCCGGTTGCCCCTCTTCCAGGCCAGCTCTCTGCTGTGGCCAGGGAGTGCAGTGGAGGATGGCCCAAGTGCTTGGGCCCTGCACCCCATGGGAGACCAGGAGAAGCACCTGGCTCCTGCCTTCGGATTAGCGCGGTACGCCGGCCGCGGCGGCCATTGGAGGGTAAACCAACGGCAAAGGAAGACCTTTCTCTCTGTCTCTCTCTCTCACTGTCCACTCTGCCTGTCAACAACAAAAACAACAACAACAACAAAAAAAACCAGTAGCTATATAATGGAAGAACAGAAACTCCCTCACTCTTTTGGAGCTCCCAGACAAGACATACCTCCCCATTTTGAAGTTTTTGGTGGGTTAGGTAATTGGTGTGGTGGTTAAGACACACACATTCATTCCATATTGATTCCAGCTCCCTGCCAATGCAGTCCTTGGGAGGCAGCACTGGGAGAAGTGGATTGAGTGCACAGCTTTAGCCATGCCCAGCACTGACCCTTTTGGGCATTCAGATTGAACCAAGTTGGGAGGTTTCTAGCATCTCTCCCATACTATCTTCCTTCTCTTGTGGCAACTCCTAGCTGTGTCCTCAACAGCATCTTAACTTGTGTCCTTGATCTCCCCCAGATCTACTTTTAACTCAGAAGCCAATGGGATTTTTATCAAATATAAACCATACAGCATCACTTCTCCTTGGGACTTTTCACTGAGATGAGAATGAAATTTAACCAAACTCTACCATGGCCTAAACACTGCCCTAATGACTTCTGCTTACTTCTCTTTCCTCTCCACTTTCTGCTAATGTCTTCTGTTTGTTTTTATTCTGTGATTATCAGGTCTTTCCCTCTTGCTGTTCCTTCTGCTTGAGCTCTGATCTTCATAAAATTGCCTCCGATTCATCAGGCCTCAGTGCAACTGTGACCTGTTCAGCAAGGCTTTCTGTGACCACCCAGCTGAACTACCACATCCTCCCAGTCACAGTCGGGGGTGGGGGGGGGCAGGGGTGACATTACCCAACAGTATCTCCTTCACAAGACACATCATGATCATCATTCTTAACTACCTGGTTTGTGCGTGTGTAAGATCTAAGCTCCTGGAGACAGACACTGTCTTGTTGGCCACTGTAGCCAGAGCTCCTGGCAGGTGGCCACAAACATATATAGGTACCCTGTGGACGTAGGTCAACTGCTATGCTTGATATTTGTGAAAGCAAAACTACCTAACATCTATTAGTGCAGAGTCTTACACATGATAGGTATTCAGTAAATATTTATTGAATGAATAGAACTAGCTAAAAATTCCAAGGAATCAGAGAGACAAGAAGTGCCATTTAAGAAAACTTCCTGTAAACATCTTGTGCTTACTGTTTGTGAATATTAATGAACTAAGCTTTGTAAGAATATAGATAAGTATAAAATTCCACTGATAGAAAAACCATCGTTAACGTGTTAAGCATTCCTATCAATGTTTTTCCTATACACACACACACACACACACACAATTTTTAAAAACTGGCATTGTATCATACACGCATTTTAAATAGGAAACTTGCCCAGTATGCTTGCTAAGAGAGAGTGCTTCTCATAAAGTACAAAGACGAACCTTATAATAAATAGGTTGTGTGCTTTATTTACATATTTTAGGTGGTGATTCCAGAAAGCACAGAATCAGGTTTGCACAGACTCATCCAGCAGCAGCAGGATCAGTGCTCCACGCCAGGGACCCCTGCAGAGCAGAAGAATCCTCTTGGGAATTTTATTGAGGCTGCTTATTTTTATTTAGAGATAAATCTCCTTTTTCCCCAAAGAAAAACACTGATTGCCTATCTTTTTATCTTTTCTAGCAAAAGATACTGAACGTGACGGGAAGGAAACTACCAAGATGTGCAACTTTACCTGTGCCACAAACCTGAACATAATTCAGTCTCCACTGATGGACCTGGATGGTTACAACTATGTGATCAAAATGTCAGGGGTGCTGCTGGCTTTCTGGGACATGAGGGGAAATAACTCTATTTGAAAATCTGGTATATAAATGTATATGAATATACAAGTGACATTTATAGATCCCAATATAACCATCCACTCATGAATAGATACGGCTGGCACCAAGTCATAAGCATAAAAATATTGTGGGTGGTTGTAACTGGTTTTTTAAAGGCATTATTTGCATTAAAAAAGTTTTGTAATTTCCAAAATAGTCTATGCAAAGGTGGGGACTTGGGCTAAGAAATAAAGGGGAGGAAAAGGAGCACTGGCGAAAAAAAAATGAGAAAGTACGCACACCAGTATCAGTCTTCGTGCTCCTGGCACCCGTATCTTGGAGGAAGATTCACGTTGTGTTTCCAGCTTGTTTTTTATTTTAATGCTTATTTCTTTTCATCTACTTGAAAGGCAGAGTGACAGAGAGAAAAACAGAGGAGAGAGAGAGAGAGAGAGAGATCTTCCATTCACTGATTCACTCCCCAAATGCCTGCAACTGCCAGGGCTCCACCAGGCTGAAGTCAGAAGCTAGGAACTCCATGCAGGTCTCCCATGTGGGTAGCAGAGACCTAAGCGCTTGAGCCATCATCTGCTGCCCCCCAGGATACATTAGCAGGAAACCGAGTTGGAAGCAGAGTAGCTGGGATTCGAACTTCACATCCAATATGGGATGTAGGCCTCCCTCTAAGAGGCAGCTTATCCTGCTGTGCGGCAATGCCTGCCCTGTGTGTCCAGTTCTCCCTGCCCAGCTCCCTGAGTTTGGCCCAGTCACTGGGTCTTCACCTTCCTTTCTTCATGACAAGTCTAGCCAGGAGCTCACCCAAGCAGCACAGAATGCCCCATCCAGTCCCTGCAGTCTATGATTCTCACTATTAAAAATCTATATTAATTGTGTTATTCTTTACAGTTGTCTATATGGTCATTGCATTTTGTTTGTTTGAAGGACACTGGCAGGTGTTTTTGATAGATGTTTTACCTGCTTAAAATTTCTTGTTTGGTATTTATCAACATGCCTGGCATCTCTTGTATCTCTCAGTTGCTCCCTGAAAGCCTCTGATGCTGGCTGGAGTTTTGCTTGAGCCAAAACCCTGTGCAAGTGGGTTTCCTGTGAGTGGAGACTGTTTGTAGAAGGAAGGGGTTGGCCAGTTTTGAGAAGGCGATGGCCATGGACACAGTCATCTCGGAGCTCTGACAAGTGGACAGGGGACTGGGTGGGAAAGCAGAAGCCTGCTGTTGGGTTTCTCAGGAACCAAGAGGTACTCGGCGTAACTGTTCATGTGAGGAAATAAAATTATGCCCAAGTCTTCTAGAACTTGTGAATGGCAAAGCCTCCATAACCATCCACAAAACAACTTTCATGAAAGGAAACGTTACCTGAAAGTTACCTGCTGCTTTGAATGAAGTCTTGGAGACTGAAAACAAAACAAATCAACATCCAGTGGACTGGAATACAGAATGTCCATTTGGGGCCAGCGCTGTGGCGTAGCTGGTAAAGCCGCTGCCTGCAGTGCCCATATTGCATATGGGAAAAGCAGTAGAAGATGGCCCAAGCCCTTGGGCACCTGTACCCATGTAGGAGATCCAGAAGAAGCTCCTGACTCCTGGCTTTGGATCGGTGCAGCTCCGGCCATTGCAACCACCTGGGGAGTGCACCAGCGGATGGAAGAGATCTCTGTCTCTGTCTCTGTCTCTCTGCCCCTGCCTCTCTGTGACTCTGCCTTTCAAATAAGTAAATCTTTTTTTTTTTTTTTAAAGACTGTCCACGTAGCAGCCATCGTCGTACAGCAAGAACTTTCCGATGTAAGGGAAAACACCTGGAAGTACCCAATACAGTCGGCAGGAATCCCAGACCAAGGCACTGCCACGTTTCCTAAATCTAGAGTAGAAACAATCCCTCGGATGAGTGACCACACTTTAGAACTTGCACTTTGCGGCGCTGGGGTGGGGCCAAGAATATCCGAACATCCCTCACACATGAAAGCAGATCTGTAAACCACCCATTTATGTGGGTTTCAAGGAGCTTTTGGAGTTCAATTATGAAAATATTCTAACTGTGTGCCAGTACCAGACCCACTCAGCCACCCCAGTATTTCTCAGTTTCCAAAACTGATATTTGGGGTCTGATCATTCTTTGTGGTGGGGTCGTTTTGTGCATCGTAGGACATTTAGCAATGTCCCTGCCCACTGCTCACTAGAAGCCAGTAACACTTCTCCTCTCCTCCCCCTTCCCTCCCCTCCCCTCCCCTTCACTCTCCTCCCCTTCATTCTCCTCCCCTCCCTTCCTTTCCTCTCTTCCCCCTTCCCTTCCCTCCCTCCTCTCCCCTTCCCTTCCCCCTCCTTCTCCCTCTCCATACTCCCACTGCTATGTGACCACTAAAAATATTTCCAGGCATTGTTTCTGGGGTGGGAGTGGGGGACAAATCATAGCCATTTGAAAAGCAGGGCCTTAGGATAAGATGAGGACCTTGGGCTGAGAGAAGGCTGGAAGCGGAAAGGGGGTTGATGAGGCTTTCTCCAGAATTCAGACATTTCTTCTCCAAGTTCTTCTACTGAAGGACATAATTCAAAGATACTGACAAGTGTTTGTAGGAAATTATTCTTATTCCAAGGTAAGTAAATATTATACATATTATTTTACACTGTAAGTTACAATTGTTTTCCTACAGAAAATGTCTTAATAGATTCAAGCTTTTATTTAGAAAAATGTTATTGATCCATTCATTGTTTTCATAACTTGCTGCACTGCCAGCCTTCCATTTGGAACTGCATCAAGCAATATTTTGCTTTCTTCCCTGTGGGGAGCAACTCGGACTAGACTAAGTTACTGGAATTAAGACTTATTCTATGCATCTGCTCTCCCACAATATGGCACTGGGAGAGGAGTAAACAGTTTCTACACAGCTGCCTCAAGTTCGACCAATAAACTGCAGGAGCTGCTCCTGATTGGAGGACAGCAGCGTACTCAGTGTGTGGGTAGCAGAGTTGGGATTGGTGGAAGAGGACTATAAAGGAGGAGAGAGACAACATGCACCAGGAACATCTAAGG